AAATGGGTTTTTGAGAATGATCTTGAAATTAATGAGGTTTGGTTTGATGAAAGTAGTGATGGAAAAAAGAGTAGTAAACGTAGTGAGGGTCAGGTTGTGAGGTTTCTTGTTGATAGGTTTGTGTTTGGGTATCAATTTTATGTAAATTGGCTTTGATTGAATTTTTTTTTGTATGTTATGGAAGAATTTTTTTGTTGTTGTTTAGGTTGTGTGATAGGGAAGTTGGTGCTAAGGATTGGAAATTCTCGAGGTTGATGAAGCTTTCGGGCTTGGCTTTCACGGAGGGCCAATTGTTGATGATTCTTGAAATGCTTGGTGTTAGAGCTTGTTGGAAGCAAGCTCTATCTGTGGTTCAATGGGTGTACGATTGTAAGGATCGCAAAAAGTTTCAAAGCAGGTATTATCGGTGATTCGCAATTGACAACAATGTTTGGTGCTAATTTCACATATATTTTTAAAAGGCACCAAATATTATGCATGATTTTTGTCTTAATGATTCACATTTTTGTTGTTGCTGTTTTACATGCTTAGTGCTTTGCATATTCGGTTCTCTCCTACAATGGAATTAATATTGATTTTGCAGGTTTGTGTATACAAAACTTCTTGCAGTTCTTGGGAAGGCAAGAAGGCCAAAGGAAGCCCTTCAAATTTTCAATTTGATGCGTGTGAGAATCAGTGCTTAATTTGTTTTTTTCCATCTAAAGACTCGTCTTTAATTGTTGTTGTATGTCGTTGGATTGATTTAGTCTCAACTTGTTCAGCGAAACATTCATGTGTATCCTGATATGGCTGCATATCACAGCATTGCTGTTACACTTGGTCAAGCTGGTCTTCTGAAAGAGTTGCTGAATATTGTGGAATGCATGAGGCAGAAACCCGAAACGTTTAATTATATGTATCGCAAGAACTGGGATTCAAGCCTTGAACCTGATGTGGTTATATATAATGCTGTAAGAAAGAACCTAAATATTTTTCATATAACTTTCTAATGAATGCCATTTTGCAAATTGATTCAATCTTCGGGTTTCTTCAATTACTGTTAGGTACTTAATGCTTGTGTTCCATCAAAGCAATGGAAAGGCGTGTCATGGGTTTTTCAGCAACTGAGGGAAAGTGGTCTGAAACCTAATGGAGCTACTTATGGACTTGCAATGGAGGTAATTACAGGATTACAACATCAGACACCATGTAACTTATCTTAAAAAAAATTGATACTAAATAACTGGGCTCTTACTTTTCACTACACAAATGATCAAATTGATAACTGCTATTCATAGTTGGTAGTTATTGTGCCATCATCTTTGATTATGCCGCTAACAAAAAATTAAAGACAGTACAATATAAGCTGTTTTGGGAAAACTATTCTCGAAAAATCTATTTGGTTGATTTATTATGGTATTACTTCTTTGAGAATGTGATCAATGCTATCTGTCCTCTATGGCTGCATATATACAGAATCCGGTAGTCATGCATGAATGGTGGCTATGATTTTCATTTTATTCATAAATTTAACTAGCTTTTTTCAAGTTACATTATATTGGAGAGTCCTTATGTGTGAATGGAAAAATTGGTTGATGAAGAAAACTAGAAAAGGATGTTACCTCCAGATTTTATTACCTTTAAAGCATGATTGTATTCAAGTCTTACAGGTGATGCTTGTTATAAGGTAATGCTGCAATCGGGCAACTATGACCTTGTCCATGAGTTATTTCGAAAGATGAGGAGCAGTGGGGAAGTTCCAGAAGCCCTTACATATAAAGGTAGTGTTTTACTTTAATATCATTTGCAGATTAACGATTTGGATAGAAGCATGATCCTAGATAGAACATTATGGCAAAAGTTGATCAATGTAGCCGACCCCACTTAGTGGGATAAGGCTTGGTTGTTGTTGTATTCTGATGGCTTGATATATGCTTCCTCTCTTCCTTAGTGTTGGTGAGAACTTTTTGGAAAGAAGGTAAAGTCGATGAAGCTGTGAAAGTTGTCAGGGACATGGAAAGACGAGGCGTTATGGGAACAGCTAGTGTATATTATGAGCTAGCATGTTGCCTTTGCAACTGTGGTAGATGGCAAGATGCTATTCCAGAGGTACTTTTTTTTTTCAATTGAACTCCCAAATTTGTCCCAAGAAATTTGATGGTGAACTTATTAGTTCCCGAGAACTTAAAATTTAAAACCTTGATTAAAATTTTTTTTTTCTCCTTGAAATATGGCTTGTAGGTGGAGAAGATAAGAAGACTTCCTCACGCTAGACCCGTGGAGGTTACTTTCACCGGCATGATTAGGTCATCAATGAATGGTGGGCACATTGATGACTGTGTATCTATATTTGAATTTATGAAAGACCACTGTGCTCCTAATGTAGGGACAGTAAATACTATGCTGAAAGTTTACAGCCAGAATGACATGTTTTCTAAAGCTAAAGCTTTATTTGAGGAAGTTAAGGTGGCAAAGTCAGATTTACGACCCGATGCATACACATATAACTTAATGTTGGATGCATCCGCTCGTGCACACCAGTGGGAATACTTTGAGCACGTGTACAAAGAGATGATTCACTCGAGTTATCATTTGGATCAAAATAAACATGCGGCATTACTTCTTAAAGCTTCAAGAGCTGGCAAGGTAGAGAATATACTCGTTATTCCTATAATTTCTCTTTTTTCTTTCCTGTTAGTTACTACTAGTGGCCACAGTTAGCCAATGGAACGAAAAAAAAGCCTCTCTTTACTTCTTTACTTAGTGCATTTCTTTTCTAAATATTGAATTTGACGGCATATTGTTGTTTCAATGCAGTTGCATTTACTGGAGCATGCATTTGACATGATTCTGGAGGCTGGAGAAATCCCTCACCATCTTTTCTTTTTTGAATTGGTGATTCAAGCTATGACTCAAGATAATTATGAGCGAGCAGTAGTCTTACTCAGCACCCTGGCCTATGCGCCATACCGAGTAACTGAAAAGCAATGGACAGAACTGTTCAAAGAAAACAAAGACAGAATTGATCATAAAAATCTAGAGCTGCTGTTGGATTCTCTTGGTAATTGCACGGTTGTATCAGAAGCAACAATTTCAAATTTATTTAAGTCATTGTATGTTCTTTGTGGGTTAGGTTCATCAACAAACACTTCAAGTATCATCCATTTTGGAAATGAAAATGTCAATGGTCGGAAAGAGACAATTGATGGTGGTGGAAATAGAAGTTTGCCAAATATTTTAGGAAGAATGACGATTGAAAGTGCTGAATCTGGGAATGACATTTTTTTCGGTAGTGATCAAGCTGAACCAGACACATTTATCTTTAACCATGATCAAGTCGACAGAGTAAACAATAATGATGTGGTGGTTTCCAGGCCACAAAACTCTGATACTGAAGATAACATAAGTTCACATGCTGATAGACTGAATTCTTTTGATCATGTGACACATAACAAGTCTTCAGATGAAGAGATCTCGGATGATGAAAGCGACGATGATGATGATGTTGGTGATAGAGTGATTGACAAGCCTTCAGCATATCAAATATTGGAAGCATGGAAGGAAATGAGAGAGGTGGATAGGAGTTTGTTAGACTCTGAAATTGATTGTGGCTAGTCATTGCAACTTGTTTTAGGCTATGTTTAGGGGTTTAGAGGGAGCAGTGCTTTAGGAAAAAGGAAGGAGAATTTCCTAACATGAATGGAGGGTTAGTATTTTTTATTATACAAAATTCTTCTAAAATGGAAAAACTCAATAAAAATGTAATGGAAAATGATTTTGAAGGGTTTAGACAAATTCTTTTAATCGCCTATGATACTCACAAAATTAAAGATATATTAATTATAACCATTGTCTAGAAAAATACCAAAAAAATGTAGAACATTTCTTTCTCTCTCATCTCCTACATAAAAAATCCTCTCTTTCCCTTTAAATTTCTAAACGGTCTCTTATTTATCTACAATTCAATACAACATAAACTATTGTTTTATCAATATATTTTTTTGTATATAAGAGAATGAAATAATAAGAGATTAAAAATATTATGAAAAACATATAAATAATTTATTAAAATGCATGCGGTCGCCAATTGAATTTACTACACCACATGCAGTCGTCAATTAAATTGACTACACTACATGCGTCAATTGAATTGGCGACTCCTTAGTTCTAATTTTTTGTTTGAAAGTGAATTAGTTTGGGAAATAGGTCCAAATATAAATTACTTTGAAAAATAAATTAAAAAGGTTGGTTATTTGGATGAAAAATTCGAATTATGAACCATCTTATAAAATTTGCTCAAGCAAATGCCTCTAAACTTCATCTATTAACATACACACCTCGGCAAATCCAAAAGACGGATGAGGTTTGTCATGCATGCAAACTTAATTGTGATAAACCTCAAAAACAGGTGACAATATATTGCATAGCAATATAAAAAGTGATGTAACAATGTCTTAGAACAAGCAACGTAAATGGCCTGCATGCCAATGACAATCCAGATTGCTTTTAGAGCACTAATAAAATTTTATATCTTTCATTAGTCCAAGTGAAATGTCTATGTCGATCATTCCATTACAACACTCTTCCTTGGTAGTACTTTGTAACATTCCCTCATTGTCTCCTTAAGAATAAAAAGGAAGAATAAAATAAAAGCTATCATTAACTCCTGATAAAATGTTTCAAGAATCGTCCCGCATAGTCCAGATTTACAAGCCGAAATTATGTACAGCTACAAAAAAATTGGCAGTAGGCACAGCAGTTGAACCATTATCTCAAACCAACTTGGCCAATGATGAATACCTAAAGTCCACGGCATCTGCATAATTCACAAACATTAAGCAAGCTTAACCAAAAGAACTAGTAGAAAGTACTACTACTACATAGCATCAGATAAAAACATCACTGATTAATTAAACTAAGCTAAGAACTAGCAAATCCTTCTGTAAAGGCATCAGAAAAGTGCAGCAATGGTTAAATATATAAGTATGTGAATATTCTAAAGGAGTGACAGATTGAGGAAGCTACCAAATATGAAGCATTTTGCTTTTAAGCGCCTTCTTTGCTGCTTTTGCAAAGACTTGAGCAGCCTCAGCTTCAGCTTCTGCAGCCTCTGCCTCTCTAGCTGCTGCCTCAGCCTGTGCAATGGCAACTTCGGCCTCTGCAACTGCTTTTGCAGCTGCAGCGGCCGCCTCTTGAGCTGTCATGCTCGTCACTTTTGATAGCTCTGCATCAATTTGAGATTTTGAAAGGATGTTGACCTCACCACTCTTCTCCACTTCTAGAGAATCTTTGGGCCTAGCTTCCATGGGCATCAAGGAAGGACTTCTTTTCTCAGAGACTCTTGGATTTGGCATAATTTTGTACTTATGCTTTTCCTGTCAATGTATATGTCATTGGTAGAATAAACTCATCATATATAAAATTTGATCGCATGCCAAGTTGGTATGGTACTATCTCTCTTGCTAAAGAAATTGCTGATATCAAGTTGTTTATGCAAAAAGGAAACACACATCTATTCACATTTATGCATAATACAACAACCAAGCCCCGTCCCACTAAATAGGATCGGCTACATGGATCAAACGACACCGTAATGTTCTATCATATATCATATCTCTATCCAACTTATTAATCTCCAAGTCATTTTTAATAATTCCTCTTATAGTTTTACTAGTGATTTGACTACCCGGTGATTGCAACTTTGAGATTTGACTACCCGGTGATTTGTGCAACTACCCTCCATTTAATCTACTCTTCTTACCACAGAATCTCCAATTCATCTCTATACATGGTCAAACCATCTTTCCACCATCTTTTCTATGATAGGCATTATCCCAACTCTTTCAAATGTTGTCCTTTCTAATCTTATCATGTCTATTCTTATCATACATCCAACACAACATCCACAGCTTCATACAACATCAGCTTGAGCGATACTTTTGTATCACATAAAATACTTGATGCAATCCTCCATTTCAGCCACCTTGCTTGAATTTGATGGTTTGTGATAGAGATCAAATAGGGGTGGGGTCATAAGGAAAAAGAAAGTATTATGTAATAATCAGTGTGGTAAGGATATATAATAAATAAAGAGTGAGTTATGATTCTTAGTTGGCAGGTTAGTTATGCCTTATTAGTATAAATAGTGATGTTAGTGAATGACACGCATTATGTTAGAATAGTGAATGAACCTTTATGGTTAGGCAGAGGGAGTTATCTCCTTTGAGGAACTGTGCTCTGGGAGTTCCATCAATGGTCCGACCTACCGGATTATCGAGTGAAACCAGTGAAGTCATGACATCAACAATTTCTGCATGTTTGGATGCGGTGAAAGTTTGACTTGATGCGGTGGAAAATTTTGTCAATGAACAATGTAGGAATGTCGACAAACTGTTACATTGGCGTTCCTCAATAGGTGTTCATTCATCATCTTATACGGAAGATCTGATTTCTAAATCCAAGTTGACAATGAAGAAGGGCGAAGGGAAAGCAAAGAGTCACGACTTTGAATGTGGGGTGAAGGAGAAACCGTCAAAACCATCCCTTTCAGATGCAAAAAAAAAAAATGAAACTGGTGATGCTGCACATGCTTTTGCGAAGGAGAAACCGTCAAAACCACCCCAGTCAGATGCAAAAATATTTGAAAATGGCGATGTTGCAAATAGTTTTTCAAAGGAGAAACCGTCAAAACCACCTCTGTCAGAGGCAAAAGTATTTGAAAATGGTGATGCTGGAAACAGTTTTGCAAAGAAAAACTGTCAAAACCACCCCTGTCAGATGCAAATTTTTTTGAAAATGGTGATGCTGCAAGGAAAACCGTCAAAATCACCTGTCAGGTCCAACAAAGATCATCAATGGTGTTACGAATAGGAAGAACACTATCGCACAAAATCCAGTTGCTTCTAAACCACCACCGCCAAAACCGACGGATCAGAGCAAGTCTGTGAAAGATAAGAGAGGCGAGAAAACAAACATGGAACAGAGATATCTGAAATATGAGCTTCTTTTTTGGACAAATGGGGCTTGTATTCATATTGGAGCAAAGTCATATGACCTTGCTTCGTGGAAAGTGTGGAAGTAAAGAAAACCCTGTACTTTATTTCAACAAGAAGTCTTGACATTCTTCCTTTTTTATGAGACAGACAATACTCAAGAGAATTTAAGTTCCCGATGGAAACTGGTGTAAGTGAAGCCTTTTGGAAATTGTTCTCCATTTTTAATGGATTGCTCAAATTTGTAATTGATAAAGACAAGTTTTGGTGGATGCAAACTCCACCCTTAAGGACAAGGCTGTATTGTATTTGAAGGGGGTGGGTAATGATAGAGACCAAATAGAGTCATTAGAAAAAAGAATGCATTATGTAATAATGAGTGTGGTAAGGATATATGATAAATAAAGAGTGAGTTAGGATTCTTAGTTGGTAGGTTAGTTATGCCTTATTACTATAAATAGTGAGTGATGTTGGTGAATGGTGCGCATTTATTGAATGAACTTTTATGGTTAGACAGAGGGAGTTATCTCTTGTGAGGATTTCATATCGTTCATTAAAAAAAGTTGTGGAAATAACTCTTCTATCTATTTTCTTTATACCATATTCTTGAACCAAAACTTAACCTTCTTCATCCTTTATACCTTCACTTGTTGCAATCTCGTCTTTCTTTCTCGCCACTTAGAAATCCTATATATTGATTTTTCTCCCTCCTTGTTGCCAATGGATATACATAATCCATGAAAAGCCTTATTTCTTGCTTCGTCCACCGCCTTTTAGATCTCTTTCTTAACTTTCTTATATTTTTTCTAACTTTTTTACGCCTAGGCAAAGCTTTATAATGTTGCTTTTTTATTTTAACTTTATACTGCACATTTTTGTTCCACCAACAAGATTCTTTACCCCTAACGTCTTCTTTACTACTTTTTTAATTGTCCCATATAACACTTACACTTCCTCGTGGCTCTGGGAAACCTCACTCTAAAACCTAGTGTTGGAAGATCATTTGTTTTTCTCCCTTCAAATGCCACCACTTGATCCATTGATCCCTACCATGGCTTCTTCTCTTAGCTCTCCTCCTAACCCTTATATCCAGAACTAATACTCTATGCTAGATAGCCCAACTCTCTCTAGGTATGACTTTAGAGTCCAAGCAAACTTTTTCTATCGATTTCCTAATAAGAAATCGATTTCCTAATAAGAAATCTATTTGAGAACATACCTCCACTCTTGTATGTGATAAAATGATACTCTCTTTTCCTGATGCATTTATTAGCTATTGTAAGATCAAAGACGACGAAAAAATTCGAACAGATTTGCCCTCCAAATTCACCTCCCTAAGGCCAGACCCCATGCAAGCCCTCAAAACCTTTTGGTACACTCCCTACATGCCCATTTAGATTTCCTCCTAGAAAAATCTTTTCTTCTAGAGGTATTTTCTTGAATCAAGCCTTCTAAATCCTTCTAAAATTTTAGTTTAAGGTGTTCTTCAAGTCTCATTTAAGGTTCATATGCACTAATCACATTAAAGGGGCCTTGTTCCACTACAAATTTTCCGTCTATGATCTGATCTATACATAATCTTATAACCAATTTATTTCTTTTTGTCAACCATGTCCTTTTCATTACTACCAGCAAGACCAAACAAGTTATTAAAGTACTTCTGCCATAGATGAAACACTTTACGTGCCTAGCTACAGAAGTAACTGATTATAAAATTACCTGGACTATTTTGCCACTTGTCACCACATGCTGCAGTTCTGTTGACAATAACATTTTAAGATCTGGTGGACACAATATTTTTTCTATAGAGATGAAAAGTTTCATGATTACTTTTAATGCAATGAGGGGGACCAGATTTGCAGGCTATGCATGGTAGTGTGTCTATGGTAAGATTGATGATAAGGACCCCTTTACAAAAGTTTAAACTATTAGGATTCCATTAAAAAAAATTAAGGATATATTTAAAATTTTAATAAAACTATAAGGATCTACACAATAATTTAACCTAAAATATATAGCTCTTCATGGAACCGGAGAGAATTATTTACAGTTAGTTTCAAAGATTTCTAATGCTTTAGATATCAATCTCTAAGAAGGGTGATACATAATTACATCAATTTTGGAACAGAAAAACATAATCAGCTGATAAATGCAAAAAGGAAATTGTTTGTTGAGCAAGGGCAAATAAAATTTATTTTCTGTCTAAGTCTTCATATAAAATAATCCATGAGTAGGGAAACCATCGCAAAAGCGGGAACTGTGGTAGTCTTTTATAGCACTAAGTTTTTTAATCATAATTTGCTTCTTGTGATGTTTAGAGTTTAAAACCATGAGTGAAGTAGAAATACCTCTATGTAAGAAGCAATGGCAGCCTTGTTAGAACCCTTTGGCTCCTTCATATTGACATTAGCCTCTAGTACATGATTAACCCCCAACCTGCCATCATTGAGAAACATATTACTTTTGTAACCCAAGTATCACTCACGATTTCAACATTTCAGCTTAAATGAAGGACCAGCAGATACCTCGCATAGGCACTATAAAAATGAAGCATAACTAGATAAATCATATAGATAGTAACAAAAATTTGGATGCAAATTAGGTTATTTCTCTTTTCATTTATGAAAAACTGGTAAACTAACTCACAGCTTCATGCAATCCTAGAACTAACTACTCGTAATGGGTGTAACATCTACAAGTTTACAATGTTTAGATTATATGCTATTCAAGAACACAATCACACAAACCAAGCACCACAGTCATGGAGATAATTTCTTTTCTCTGGATAATAAATGGCGTATATATTTAATTGAAATTTCTCAAACCTTGATACTTGTTCTTTTGAATTAGAAGATGGCAATGCTCCACTAGAAATTGTTAGAGGCTTAATATCAAGAATGTCTTCACGTTGAACTACTTTACTCAAGGCCAATTGATTATTGTCAATTTTTGGGGCTGGAAGGTTCTTTTTAAGGGCAAGCTTTGCCTTCTGCCGGGATCCCCATATTGCTGTGACATTTATATTCCTCCATTTATCCTGTTCACAGTTCAAAGCATACAAACTAGTACACCAAAGGTAGGAAATAGTTTTGTCAATTTGATCAAAGAAAAATGCTCTATTTTTATATATTTCGCTTATGATATCAATACACATGATTATATGGACAGTTCAATTTTAACATTCCTAGCCTGAAAGAACCATAAAACTCTCTATTTGTGTAGCATTTCGCGGAACCTGCTGGGCTGTTGAAAAGACTTACCTTGAGATCTACATTTGAACGAGTGCGTAAAATGGTACAAAACTCAGGATCAGTAAGTATAGTGCGCCATTTTCCAGACCCGTGTTTGAGTACTCCAGCTTTTAGCGCCGCTTCTTCTTCTGCAGTCCATTTCTGCTTAGGAGCACCCATGGAAGGAAAGCTAACACCTTTTTCGAGACAGTTTAATCTTTGCTTCTACGTTAGAGGAAACCTTGGACTTTCAATGCGTCCCTTTTCTACATGTGCATCTTTGCATAAACAAAACTTTATTGTTAATTGTTGACCAACAAACATCAAAATAAAACAAACAAACAAATGTCAAAATGTGATTATTCTGTGTTTATAGTAACCGGTAAAACACATTTAAATAAATATAAATCATCCCAAATATTGACCTTAGTTTCAAATTCAATTCAGTCTCGTCCACTAACACCTCATAACAACAACAATAATCAAGTCTTGTCCCCACTTAGCTACATGGATCAACTTTCGCCATATTTTTTTGTCTAGGACCAAGCATCTATCCAAATCATTAATCTCAAAATCTTTCTTAATAACTTCTTTTATAGTTTTTCTAGGTCTTCTTCCTCTATTTGTTTGCCTTCTCTCCATTTCATATACTCTCTTTATCACGGAATCTACATGTCTTCTCTCTACATGCCCAAACATTCACTAACACCTCAATAATGTTAAACTATGTGCCATCAACACTAGATTGAAGACATGTCTAACAATACCGACACTGTTACTTTCAATTACTTCCGTCTTCTTAAATTATTATCAGAGTCGACATGTGAGGGTTTAATGTATGTATCCGCAAATTCTAGCCACCAACTGTCTAGAAAAGTCTAGAATTATGCATTGCATCAAAATGCAAAGTCTAGAGATGCTAATTTCTTAAACCAATAAAATGACATTAACACAAACACGTCGACTCCGGTAATAATTTGAGAATCATAACATTATGAAAAGGCCAACTTTTCACTTTAACCTAACCCGTAACATTGAATAAGAGAATCACAAACACAGTTACAATAAACAATCAACCTAACATAAAGTAGAATCACATGCATTCGAGTGGGAAGGGAAATAACAGACTATAATTCTAACAAACAAATGCAAAAATTGGAATTTTTGTTAACAGAAGATCGAAAATCAAAGATGAATCGATGGGTAAATGTGTACCTAATCAGTGGGCAGTGATGAAAATTGGGAAAAGTTGAATTAATCGGAAAGAGTTTGTTAAAGGAATGAGACGCATGCGTTCTATTCAACCGAGGAAACCAAGTTGTGTCTCATGTTGTTTTTGGATTAAACCTCTCAAAATATTCTACTTTTTTTTTTTACTTTTTGTTCTCATTAAAGTAGATAATATTTCGTCTTTCTTTATTGACATTTATTAACCAAAAAAAATAGTATAATTAATTTAATGATGGAGATTAAGGGTTGTGGTAGGTTTTTAGGTTGTTTTAATGTTGGAGTTAATCGATGGAGCTGAGAAATTTTGAATGTAGTATTTTGTATATGGATTAAGATATTTATAAAAATCTTAGACTTCTAAAAAGTAACAATTGTTTCTAGAAGTGTGAGGAATGAGCGGGTAACTCTTCTATTATTCAGGAGAATGCGACTTTTTTCCCTTTTGACTCTGTCTTTGCATCATTATGAATTGGGACATGTCACTCATATGTTCTCATGGATCGAGCGAGTAATCCAGGGAAAGGGTGACATAACCAAAAGATGGGTGTCCACTATATCCAATAAATAGGCGGTTAGGAGGCTGGAGTAGACATCATATCACGTCGTCTTCCCTTAGTGAATCTTATGTGTCGCCTCATGTCGGTATTTTATAAATATACCAATGCACAATTCCTCAAGCACAATGACTTAGAAAAGACTAAATGATTTAATTTGTTTTCTTCTTCTTATTTGGAAGCCTCTCTTGGGTATGCATCTCTCAAACATGGTCTGAGATATATCCTTAGGTGTCAATGAGGTGAATCATGAAACATCAACTGAGGGAAATATCCAAATGTCAATTAAGGTGAAAAGCATGTGTTTTATTAAATGCGATCGATTATGATTTTTCCTTGGGAAGTCAATTTGGCCTTAATTCCTTCCATGTGTCTCTAGCGTGGGGAATCTTTTTTTTTTTATTTGTTGGAATGTCATGTGGGAGGTTATGGATTACCCCTAGAACTAGACTTCCCCTCCTTATAAAAGGATTTCAACTTTCTTTAATTCATCATTTTTTCGCATTATCCTCTTCCAAGTTGTCGTCCATTTTCTTAAGAGTTCTATAAGCGTAAAGTGCACTCGTTTTACAAGTTGTTGATTGTGTTTGTAGATACGATTTTATCCTCCTTTCGGTATCTCTTCTCTCAATGATGATTGTTAAGATTTTAGAATGTTCAAGGAGTGGTTGTGTATTATTGTTATGAATTTAGACATTTGGGAGCCACACGAGCTCTAGTAGTTTTGATAGTGATTCTCTTTCTTTTCCTGTTTTTATCAGGAATCAGTGGCAGAGACAGATGTTAAATGTTTCAAAGTCAAAGACTACATGTCTTTGTACTATAATGAGGAAATGATTACTACTTTTTGGCGAAAAATCGAACTTTCCAATACATGACACAAAGATTATCTGATTTTGGAATTATTTTCTAAGGAGGAGAGGACAAATATAGCCTCCCTGAATGGCTTGCACGTCCCCTACTTCTATCTTCATCTTCATCTTCATGTCTGTCATACCTCAAATTTGCCTCGTTCAAATTCAATGATCATATTATTACTATGTTCTAATTTTTTAAATCATATTATGTAAAATTGCTTGTTTTGAGTCTTACTCCAATGAGGGTTTAAAATAAAAAATGGGGTGTTTGTTTCAAAATGGACCATCAAAATCTGATGGCCCATTAAAGATCCTTTTAACTCATTTTCACAATATAAATAGGGGTATTGTTAGCCCATTTGACAGATTATGCCAATATGTCCTTGTGGCCCGTTGAATTACTAAACCTTGCTATCTGATTCATAATAGGAGAGGGGTGTATTTTCTTTATTCATATGGCTAGCCCATTAAGGGTGTTATTCTTTTTATAAGGTAGTAAGAAGGGTATGCTTAGAAAGAGCACGACCCATTTTGTTTAGAGGCCCACGCTCAAATCTTTTTGAAAACGGTACAAAGGGTATTTTTGTCAAGTGGCCATTAGAAGATGGAAGGCCCGATTGGTGAAATCAAATTTTTGGATAAGGGTTCATTTACATTTTTTTGTTTATCATGGTCATTATTATAATTATTATTTTAAAACCCGCTATTATAGTTGTTATTTTTATTAAAATGATTAATTGTCATTATTACAATTATTCAATTATTATTATTTAAATTATTATTATTTTATGAAACGTTGACTAAGTCAACAAAGGGCCATGAAACCCTAATTCTCAATGTATTTGCGACCGTTGTTCATCATCTTTACCAGCAATCCAAAGCCACTAAGCAGGCCCGGAATCAAAGATTTCCATAAACAAATCTAATCAAATCAAGCAATATTATCAAATCAAATCTTCAGAAAATCAAAACATTGAACAATTATTACAGAATCAAATCCTACAAGATTAAGTATTACAACAAAACTGTCCAATTACAAATCAATTTCTAATCTAATTTACATACAACGTAAATCAAATCACTAATTCCTAAATCGACTCTAATCTAAAGACTTGTAATAGAAATTATACAAATTTTCCTAATATAACTAACCTAAAGCGCTATAAAAACCCCTAATTGCTAAGAATTTAGGAAGAGAAAATTGGTTACAAACAAAGAACGAAAGAAGGAGTAGAAGAGTTGAGATTTTGGTTTCAATTTCTGAAACTCTAGATTTGTGGTACCGCCGCCTCTTCAAGACTTCATCCGCTGAGATCGCCACCGTGCCATCATTCCACGAACCTACAAAACAAGAAAAAGAAGATTAGAAAAGGGAATCAGAAGATCAGAAGAGGGATAATACAAGAAGAATCATTGCAAAAGAGGTAATCCAAATTACTTAGATTAGGTTTATAATTGTTGAATTTTTGTTATTGGTGTTTTTATCTTGGGATTTCTGGAAATTTAGAGTTAGGGTTCTTCAAGACTTAGGGTTAGGGTTCATAGTTTGGTGTTAGGGTTCTTCACTCTTCATCTTTCTGGGTTGGGGGTAGGTCAGGGTTCTTAGGGTTTATGTTAGACAATGTTAGGGTTCTTGGGTTTAGGGTTTGATCTTCAAAGGGTTAGGATATGATACGGTGGTTTTCTGGGCTTCGGGTGAACAACCACCGACAAAGGCGATTTTCGGCCAGTGGTGGAAGGTGGTTTTCTAGATAGATGGGAGAGCATCTCTCTCTAGTTTTTTGTTTAATGTGAGAGAATATGGGGTAGAGAGAGAGATATAGAGGCGAAAATGAAGAGAATGAAAAGAAAAATGAAGAAATAACTCTCTCTGTGATCCCGTGTGAAACGTCTATCATGCACCCTCAATCTCCACCCTTATGATCAACACCTCCCCCTACGCAATTGGGCCAAATCCAATATCTGGATTTGGGCCCTGATATTCACACCCCTTGGTTTTTTGCTACTCAACACAAAATGCACCCCCCCTCGACTGTTTGGGCTCAGATTTTCTTTTGAGCCTAAATATATTTCTAACACACCCACAATTCTAATATCTACACCCCCGCGCTTAATTTAATTTATTTAATCGTTTTATTTTATTTTCTTTATTTAACTTAGTATTACATTTTAGCATTTTGCATTGACTATAGTTTTGCATACTAATAAATAATTATTGGATATTTTCATTAAAAATAATGATATATTTTTAATAATTAAGGAAAATAGCTATTTATTAATTAAAATATTTTTACACTAACCTTTCTTTAATTTCATTAAATATTTTTTCTCATGCATCAAAACTTTTTTTTTCATATTGCATCATATACTCGAAAACATCTAACCAATCAAATACTAACACTTTCTACTAACATAACTCAAATATATATTTATTTTCAAAAAGGATTATGGAAAATTCTTTTATCGAATGCAAACTTCGCCTACAATTCCGTTATTCACACACCCATACTTGATTCAAGGAGAATTCAAGATATTTCGA